CCCACCAGATGCAGTGGGGTGAGGGAAGATCACAGCAGCTCCCCAGTTTCCTCCAGAAACCCACCCATCTCGAGAGTGGGACCCCAGAAGCCCTCCCCTTCTGCCCTCCCATCCAGAGAGGGTGAGAGAAGAGTTATGGAGAGAGGGCGTGGATACACCTAGGCCCACAGCCTGGCTGCAAGTCGTTCACTTTTTCCTGGCCTGGCCACTGTCCCTGGCATCATACAAGTTGGGCATTCAGCCTCCCCAAGGCCTGTACTACAGGAGTGAAGGGGCAGGGGTAATAGAGGTACTCCCCAGAAATTGGGAGTCATGGCACTGTGGGTCCTGTCGCAGGCAGACGCTGCCTGATCTGCCCCCTCTGTAGCTGGCCCTGTGCTGCTTCAGGTGTTGGCAGCCTACACCAGACCAACTGTCCTGGCCACACCCATCCACACCCCAACCCGGAGGAGCCAGAGACTGGAGGGGGTGGAGGGCGGAGAAGGGGAACTGAACTCTGCTGTGGGAGGAGCGAAAACTGAGTGGGGAGAGAGTTGACCCCCCTGGAGTTGCCACACTGCCCTGCTCCACGCCCCCCTACCCTCCCCTCTGTCTCAGGATTGTCCCACTAAGTCAGAGCAGAGACCGGGACAGCTGGCAGAGTCTGGACACGTGCTCAATTCAGGTGCACTGCACTGCCCCCAACCCCCGCCCCAGCCTCAGCCCCTGTGCTCAGCTCAGCAAGCCCAGCCCTGCCTGGCCCAGCCCTGGTGGAGAGGAGAGAAGAGAGGAGGGGAGGGGAGAGGAGGGAGGGGAGGGAGGGGCAGGGATGGAAAGGGAGGGCAAAGGAAGGATGGGAGACAGGGGAGGGGAGCAGGGGAGCGGGGGAGAGGGGAGGAGAGAGGCGGTGGCTGCAGCTGGGAACCAGGAATCAGAGCCAAAAGCAATAGAGGAACCTGAGGCCACCTGGGTGCGAGACAGATCTTCCTCCCTGAGTCTGATGGGAATCTCGCCTCCTCCCTGGGGTCCCACCCTACTGGGGCAGCACCAGAGGTCAGACCTTTTCTGCATTTTGGTCACTCTGCCCCTCAGTCTCCCCTTACTGCCTAGATGGCTTCTAGGATGCCTTACTTGCTCTTTTTTTTCTTTTTTTTTTTTTTTTTTTGCCATTCCCAACTGTGCTCAGGGCTTACTCCTGGCTCTGATGAGCTCAAGGGATCCCATGAGGTGCCAGAACTGAATCCCTGCTGGCCACGTGCAAGGCAAGCAACCTACTTGCTGTGCTATCACTCCATCCCTTTGCTTTTTTGTGCTTTACTTCTGGATGGTTGTCCCTGGCCCAGTGCTCAGGAGACTCTGCCGGGTTTCAGGACCAAACCTGACCTTCTTACACACAAAGTTTTTGCGCCTTGGTCCCTGGGGCCACCTTCCAGATCTCTGACCCTGTGTCTCCCAGCTTGCCCCTGGGTTTGCTTGAAACACTTTCTGGGTCAGGATCCCCCTCCCCCCCCACCAACCCAGAAGTAGCGGCAAATTTGGGGAGACGGGAACACCAGCAGGGTAGCCTCTAAGCTGAGTGCTGGGGGCTGAGGGGCCCAGCCAGTTCCCTTTACCCAGACTTCCATGCCTAGCCGCCCCTCTATGGAGCAGCTCTGCCCAGATGACCAGCCTCCTGCTGAGCATCTCTGCCTTCCCGCCAGCAGCGAACTTTCTGACCCACCAGCACACACAGTGAGGGCTCAGGCGCCGCCACGGCAAGTGCTGAATTTGGCCGAGAATCTGGGCCCGGCTGGAGGGGAAGGGAGGGGTGCCGGACTCCACTCCCGTCCCATTGGCCGGTTGCGCTGGGTGGTCTCCATCCCCGCCCGGGCTCCGGGAGTGATGCAGAGGGAAGGGAGGAACGGCGGCCTCCGGAACCCCTCCACTGTGTGCATCTGCAGGCCTTCACACTCACCTCTGCAGCGTGCCAGCAGGCTGACAGCCCCGCGCACCTCTCCACTGGGCACGCGCGCACCGGGAGCCTGGGCGCCCGACTCCCCTTTTTGCCCTGGGCCCAGCCTGGCCCTTCCCTCCCCACACCACTCTACTCTTGCCCAGGCTCTTGGAATTGCTTCTCATTGACTTCACACCCTCCCCCCATTCCCCCACGCACTGGAGTCTCCAAATTCTTGGGGGAGTCCCAAAGGAGTATGACCCAGGGTCCTGACCGACCAAGGGCCAGAACGGAAAAGGGGTTGCCCCCCACTTCGACACCCACATGCTCGCGCACACACGTGCGCGCGCGCGCGCACACACACACACACACACACACACACACACATGCCAGATCTGCAGCAGATTTGGTCATGATTAAAAGGCCAGCGACATAGGGAAATTCCTTCTCCTTATTGATCCCGACGGGAAATTAAAGCCAGTTGTTGGCGACTGAGTGACTAGGCTGCCCTCCCCGTGCCTGATTCCAGGGTCCTGGCCCCTGGCCCCTGGCCCAGCTCCCACACCTTCCTATCAGCTTGTTTGAGTTTCCCAGCCTGAGTTCACCATTCTTTTCACTGCCTCTTTCCTAAGCACCCCCAGTCTGCACTGCTCCCAAGGGGTGCAGAGGCTGAGCCCACCAGGACCTGACTGTGTACCCTCTCCCCACCTCCCTCAGCGAGGGTTGGGGTGCAGGGACTAGAGCTCAGGCCCACAGCTGCCAAGCCACAAACACTCACATCTGGAAAAAATTCCCCTCCCTGCCCAACTTCCCTTTGTCTTAACTTCTGTCTCTTTGGAAATTCTGGCCGGCTGGCGGACGGGAGAGTAAGGAAATGAAGAGAGAGGAGAAGGCTCAGGCTGCCCCTCACCCACCCAGCAATGGTGCTGCCACCTCCCCTCACACCCCCCATCCCTCCTCCCTCTTCTGAAGGCCGAGGCTCTTGGGTGACCGTGTTGGGGTTAAGGTTTCACATCTTGAGTCACAGGGTGGGGTGGTTGGAGTCTCCATTTCTGCAGTCCAAGAGATGCCTTCTCATCTGGAGACAGCTGGCCAGCTGTGGACTGCAGCAGGCTGGGGTGGAGTGGGGTGGGGTGCAAGTGGATCTTGAGATGGGGAGCAGTAAGGGGCAGTGAGCTAGAAGCAGGGCCAGGGGCTGTCTGGATTCCTCCCTATTCCTCCCCCAGCCTCTCCTCATCCTTTTGGCCTCGAGCCTGATATCACTGTCAGAACCTAATCCCCCTCCCTTTACCTACAGCAGCGCCAAGGCAGGGGGGAGGGGGAAAGCTCAGGCAGCTCCTGAAATCCCAGCCTCAAGCACCCCCCAGAGACCACCCCCCTCCTCCTACCACTTCTGCTTTTGTCTGTCTCTGCTCGGTGCTGCTCAGGCCTCAACTCCTGCCCCCTTTCTTCTAGATGCCCCGGTCACCTGTACCTCCAAATCAGCTCTCCCACACCCAACCCCATCAGGCTGAAGCCACTAGGTCCCTCCCATCAGAGAGGGTGCTGGTGTTGGCGAGTGGGGTCCACCGCGAAGTCCTTCCCATCTCACCCTCCTTCTGCTGCATTGTTCTATACCCAGTGCTCAGAGATCTCCCCAGAGCGCAGAGATCTCTCCCCACGCAGACCTGTCCCCTCGTTTGGCCTGCTCGGCAGCCCTCACTCTGCGGGACTCAGTCCTCCCTTCCTCCCTCTCCTTCGCTTCGGTACTGACTCCCGGCTCAGGCCCCCACCCTCTGCGTTTCGCGGGCTCCGAGGGGAAGCGCTCCTCTCGGCTCCACCCACGGCCACGCTGGCAGGGAGGGCCCAGCGCAGGAACCCAGGCTGAGAACAGATGTGGGGATTTCGCCGGGAGGAGGGGCCGCTCGGGCTGCCAGCCACGTGCGAAGATCGGGCGAAGGCAGCGGGGTCCGCGGTGCTGCCCAGCCCAGTGCCCGGGCGTGCCCCGCGCCGGGTCCCCCCGTCCTGACCCCGACTCGGCTTCTCCGGCTCCCCGGCCTCCTCCCGGGGTCTCGCCCATTCGCCCTGGGGGCTCCGCGGGGAGCCCAGCCCTACCCCCCTCCTTTGATCTCCCACTTCAAAGCCCAGCGCCAACGGCGGCCGCTCCTTCCGCTCGTTTTACAGCTCCGGGGAGCGGTGACACCGGAGACTCCGCTCCGCCCTCCCCGGGGCACCCCCCCCCCCCCGCCTCCTCCCGACCCCGGGCCCCGCGCCCCTGCCCGCCTCCCTCCTCTGCATCCCCCCCACTCCGTAAAGCGCCGGTGTCCAGCGACGCAGCGACCTCTGCCCTCCGCGCGCGGGGCTCGTTTAACCCTTCGGTGCCCGCCGGAGCACATAGAGAACCGCGTCGCTGGGTGCCCGCGTGGAGCGAGCCCCGAAACGGGTGGCACCGGGTGCGGCAGACGCCCCTGCCTCTCCGAGCGGCCCCAGTAGGGGGCGCCGTGGCCTCGTGGAGGTGCAGGTAGAGGAACCCGGGTCTCCCCGCCCCCCCACGGCCGGTCCTCGGGTGCCCAGCGGCCACGCTGGTCCTGTGCAGGCTCGAGGGAGCCGGCACGCGCGCGACCTCGCAGCTCGCACGCCGGGTTCCCTCGCTGCTGGGCAGAGCGGGCCCCCCGGGCTCAGTGGACCCGGGCTGGGGAGCAGGGCAGCTTCGGCTGGGTCTGCAGGACTGGGCGCCCGAGCATGAGCATCCGCGACCCCCGGGGGGGACCCAGCCCACGGGCTCGCCCTGCGCAGCGTGTCCGACGCACCCACCGTGCCCCAGATCTCGGGAGGCCGGGGGTCGAGGAATCAGGGGACCCCGGGCGCTGCGGCGTGAAGCAGGGCCGGGGCCCGGGTCCCCCAGGTGGGCGGGGGCGGGGCGGGGGCGGGGCCGCCTCGTTCTTGGGCCCGGAGGGGCGGGCCTGCGTGGGGTATAAAGGCTGCGGCGCGGGCTCCCGGGCCGGCTTTGGGGGTGTCTCAGGCTGACTCTCGCTCCCGAGTCCTGCGAAGCGGCTGCATTCCTCCTCCTCCTCCTCCTCCTCCTCCTCTTTCTCCTCCTCCTCTCCTCCTCCTCCTCCAACGACAAAAGGACGCCGAGTCCCGCGCTGCAGCGAGGCTTGAGTGAGGGACTGCCTGGCAACATCATGCCCAACTTCTCTGGCAACTGGAAAATCATCCGGTCCGAAAACTTCGAGGACTTGCTTAAAGTCCTGGGTGAGGCGGTCTGCGGCCCCCGGGAGCTGAGAGAGGGGTGCGGGGGTCGGGGTGCAGGGAGCAGGGCGAGCGAGGCTGGACGCCTGGATCCGCGGGCGCTGGGCCAGGACCCCAAAATATGCTGCCCTTTCCGGCGGGGCGACCCCTGGATGCAAGCGCCGCGGTGACTCAGCCTATGAATCAAGCAGAAACCAGATGCGCGGGGCCGGTGTCCCTTGGGTGGAGCGGGGCGGAGGGGGGGGGGGGGCGGGGGCGCCTGCAGTTTAGAGGAGCAAATCCTGCATCCAGCGCCCAGCCTGGAGCACTTACCCCAAACACCAAGAAGCCTGAGCCCGGCTAGCTGCAGGCGCCTAGTGATCCCCTACAGCGCTCTCCACTCTGTTCCCTCTCACCCCCCATCCCCAGTCTGCAGGACAAATATTTTCCTACAGCCCTCAGCTCCAGAGCCCTAAAATTGCTTGGGATAATTATCACTTTCTTAGATTTCAACAAATGGCTTCGTGGTAAACCCCACCCCACTCCCCCATTTCCGAAAGAAAAAAATCCGTTTTCTTCCTCTCCCGCAGCCCAGCTGGGTGTGTGGAATAAAAGTGAGGGCAGTTGGGACACCCTCACTCCATGGTCTTTTCCCGACTGCTCTGTGATCTGTGTCCAGGGAAGCAGAGAGAGGGCCCTGGGGGGTGATGGAGGGAGGGTAGTTAAGGACCCAACAATGGGGGACTTTTCCTGGAGGCGCTGGAGCCCAAGGCTCGAGGGGGGAGAGAGACCCCATTTTCCTTGGGGTGGGAGCACCCTGGGGAGAGTGGATGGCGGGAATGGTCAGGACTGCAAAGATCTGGAATGCTGACTGGGGGCTCCATCGTTCCTCACTGTCAGCTCTTCTTTCAGAGAATTTTGCGGTAGGTGGGGGGGGGGGGGGTTGGCGCGGTTGGGAAGGGGGCTAGTTGCTTACTTGCGACAGATCAAACCAACCCAGGGTCTCTCCGCTTGAGCCCAAGCCTCCCGCCAGACTTAGTGCTCCAGACTTAGTGCTCCTCGCTCATCTTTATAGCAATGAAGCCCAGGCCCTCCTCTCTGCTCTCCAGCCCCTGCTGGAGGATGAGATCCAAAGCTCAACCCAAGTGTCTGTTTGTCCTCCCTGCGGGTTGCTCAGAGGCACGTGCCCTCCTCAAGGCCCTGCTGGGGGGCAGATTGAAAACAGACCCTTTAGATAAACACAGTCCCCACTGGGCCAAGGGCGAGGCCCGTTCCCAGCTGCAGGCTCCCAGCTGCATGCAGCATCTCCTCCACAGCCCGCTCAGCCTCTGCAGGAATCATGTTCTCCTCACCCACCTTTGTCCTAGTTGAGGGCTCCTCTCCTGCGGAGTCAGTCAGGTACTGGGGGTGCCGGTCCCTCTGCAGGATGGGCTCTGGGCAGCAAGACAGATTCCTCAGGGAGCAAAAGAATGTGTCATAATGGGATCAGAGCCAGTAGGGTGTTTGCCTTGCACGAGGCTAACCCAGGTTTGATCCCTGGCATCCAATATGGTCCCCTGAGCACTGTCAGTAAGTTCAGAAACAGGAATAACCCCTGAGCATGGCTGGGTGTGATCCGAAAAGCCAAAAAAAAAAAAAAAAAAAGGGACATAATGTCTTTGGCCAAGAAGACAGGAGCTGTGTCTTCCCTACCCATCCTTTGGATTTTTATAACCAGCAGCTCAGGGGCTACTCCTGGAGGTGCTCAGGGGACCCTGGGGTGCCAGGGATCAAATCCAAAATGCTCCATGCAAAGGCTGTGGTCAGTCTACACTCTTTCTCCTGCCCCTACTCTGTCAGTCTGGCCTGAGACACTTATTTCTGCCTGGGTCCGAGAGCTGAATACCAGGAAGAAGACTCTTAGCATGAGTAAGGCCCTGAGTTTGATTCCTGTCCTGCATGATCCCCCCCGCCCCCCACACCGCGGCACTGCCAGGCCCGAGCTCTCACTGCTGGGAATGGGCCCTGTGAAATAAGGAGTCTCGGTCCCTCTAGATAGGACAGCAGGTAGGTGCTTGTCTTGCACACAGACGACTCGGGTTTGAGTTTGGTCCCTGGTACCCCATATGGCCCCTCAAGGTCCTCTAGGAGTGATCCCTAATCACAGAATCAGGAGTAAGCCCTGAGTACTGCCAGGTGTGCCCCAACCCATCCCGCCACACACACACACACACACACACACACACACACACACACACAAAGGAGGAGGGTCCTTAGCTTCCTTTCTCCTGCTCCTCTCTTCAGAACAGAGTGGGGCTGCTTTGATGTCATGAGACAGAGGAATTTGTCTCTAGTAGGACCCCAGGTAAAAAGAGGCACCCTGCTGGTCCCCTTCATCCCATCCACTGTTCCTGTAGCTTCTGCCTCAGCTGAGGGTTGATTTCAGGTGCCTCCCTGCCTTTCTCCTTCAGAGGGGGGAGTCTCTCCTGCTCCCCATCCTCTTAAAAATGGGAGCCCGAAGAAGAGGTTGAATCTGGACAAGGCAAGTGGGGAAGGGCCCCGGGGCCCTGAATCCACAGAAGCAGAGCTGGGTGGGCTTGGGGACCGCCCAGAACGACATGCCAGCAAGAATCTGATCCTGGGCCTTTGTTTCCAGCATTTCTGATGCTTTCCTTTTCTCAGTACAAGTAAGAGCAACCTTAGAGTAGCTGTGATTTCTTGAACACTTGAAGGTAAGTGTGCACTGTTTATGAGAGCCTGAGCAGGCATCAGCCTCTTGCTTCCAGTATGGGCTCAGAGAGGGGAAGCCATCTACCTTCATTCATCCAGTCTCAGGGATCCAAGCCAGGTAGAGCGCACAACCTAGCAGGTGCTGGCCTCCCCTGCCGCCAGCCTCTGCAGAGGGCCCACTGCTGCTTGCGAGTGCTCTTGGCAGCGCCCAGGGCCTTCTCAGCTGGGAGCAGAATGGACACGGGGCAGATAAAGAGCTGTGTGCCCCTGCCCAGACCAAGAGGACAGGGTAGGGGAAAGCTGTCCCTGTCACATGTACATGTCCACGTGACCTGGCATCACCCAGCCAGCAGGGGGTACACGCAAGGGACAGAGGGCTTGCTTTTTGGGTCACACCCAGCCGATGCTCAGGGGTTTACTCCTGGCTCTGCACTCAGGAATCTCTCCTGGCGGTGCTTGGGGGACCATATAGGATGCTGGGAATCGAACCCGGGTTGGCCGCGTGCAAGGCAAACGCCCTAATCGCTGTGCTATTGCTCCAGCCCCAGGTAGGGCACTTTCATTGCATTTGGTCATCATGGGTTCGATCCCGGGCACCCCATATGGTCCCTGAGTACAGAGCCAGGAGTAGGTCATGAGCACCGCCAGGTGTGTGTTCTCCCCACCCCCACACACTGCCGCCCAAAATTACAACCACACCATAAAAAAAGGAGGTGAGCAGATGCTAGGGAAGCCCCTCTGTCCTAGGGGGAAATGGCCCATGCTGAGCCTGGACTGGAACTTAGGCCTCCTGCAGACAGAGCTTATGCTTCAATCTGTTGGGGGCTCTCTGGCCCCGCTGAGACTTACTGCATGTGAAGGGCCAAGGCTTGGGGTCCTGTTGCAGGCCTGTGCCTCATTAAAGGGGGGTGCAGGGCTGGAGAGAGTGCAGCAGGTAGGACACTTGCCTTGCATATATTCCATCCAGATTTGATCTCTAAACCCCTCCAGGAGTGATCCTAAGTGCAAAACTAGGAGTGAGCACTGAGTACTGGTAAATATGGCCCCCCAAAAAGGGGGAGCACAGCTAGTGAAAGGAGTCCGAATGGCAGCTCCTGCCTGGTCCCAACGCCCATCCTGGTATGTGGGGGGGGTCACACTGCACCAGCTGCATCTCCTTCAATGCCTTACCCTGTTACCCCAGCCTACCACACCCTCCAACCACCAGGGTACAGCTGGAATCTCAGTGAGTCCCAAGAGGCAGTGTGTGTGTGGGGAGGACAGGGGGAGCCCCTGAGCATGAGCCTGTCTCTGCACGCCCCCAGGAGTGAATGTGATGCTGAGGAAGATCGCGGTGGCGGCTGCATCCAAGCCCGCAGTGGAGATCAAGCAGGAGGGAGATACCTTCTACATCAAAACCTCCACCACCGTGCGTACCACTGAGATCAACTTCCAGATCGGCGAGGAGTTTGAGGAGCAGACGGTGGATGGGAGGCCTTGCAAGGTGAGTCCAGACAGGGCTCCCTTGGGCCCAGCACCCAGTGCCCCTATCCAGCCTGGGCACTGCGGGAAGTCTGTCTCCTTGCAGTGCTTGGTGGCCTCAGGGCCACTCCCAATGAAGAGGGCCAGTGCTGGGGAGACCAAGGCCACGTCTTGGGGATAAAACATGCTGTGTCTTTTGTTTTTTTGCTTGTTTGTTTATTTCGGGGTCAGACCCAGCAGTGCTCAGAGGTTACTCCTGGCTCTGTGCTCAGGAATTACTCCTGGCAGTGTCGGGGGACCCTAAGGGATGCTGGGGATTGAACCTGGGTCGGCCACATGCAAGGAAAACTCCCTCTGCGCTGTTCTATCTCTCTAGCCCCAAACAGCTGTGTCCTTTGGGTGATGTCCCCAGCCCCCTTTTCTGCATTTTCACTGGGTACTGGAGGCAGGAGCACAGCCTTGTCCCTCAGCGAGCCCTCGCGCTCACCGGCTGTGCTCTGTCTGCTGCAGAGCCTGGTGAAGTGGGAGAGCGAGAATAAAATGGTCTGTGAGCAGAGGCTTCTCAAGGGCGAAGGCCCCCGGACCTCCTGGAGCAGAGAACTGACCAACGACGGCGAGCTCATTCTGGTGAGGCCGCTGCGCCCACTCAGGGCATGCGCGAGCTGTGTGCGCGAGTGTGTGAGTGTGCGCGGAACCTGGCGCTGTGTATGTGTGCGTCTGTGTGTCTGTGTGTCTGTGTGCCTCTGTATATCTGTGTGTGTCTGTGTGCCTGTGTGTGTCTGTGTCTGTGTGCTCTGTCTGTGTGCGTGTCTCTGTGTCTCTCTGTGTGTGCCTGTGTCTCTGTGTATGTTCCAGGACATTCCACAGGCAGATGCCCCTCCAGGCCACCGTGGCTGGTCTCCCTACGGGAACTGCTGGGCTGCTCCAGTCCTCCCCAGTCCTCCCCCAGGACATCTCTGCAGGGTTCCTGGCTTAGGGAAAAAGATATAAGGGAACCCCTTGGACCACTCTCCCTCCCATGGTGTCCAGGAATTTGAGGACCCCTCCTGCCTACCGGTCCCCAAACAAGCAGCAGATTTCGAGTCCAAACTAACCAGGAACCCCAAAGCCCCAGAACTCCCCCATTCTCTGCTTGCAGACCATGACCGCCGATGACGTCGTGTGCACCAGGGTCTACGTCCGAGAGTGAGAGGCCCCGGATTGCTGGGGCCTGAGCCTGCTACCAGCCTCGCCCCTGCTCAGCGCCCCACTGCCCCCTCCCGCCCTTCTAGCCTAGTGCCCTGTCCCCCCAGCTGCTCCTGGACCCGTGGACGCTGCTGTGGGGGATCAGCTCTCCAGCCCCCTCTTCCCTTCCCCTCTGCCCACCAGGAAGGATGCGGGTGCCCAGAGCAGCCTTCCAGATCACCCTGTCCCCCCAGCCCCCGCCCCAACCGAGTCTTTCTTTCCTGAAAGAGTTCCTGAGGGCCCGCAGACCGGCCCTCAGCGCCCCCTCATTGTCCCTCCAACCTGTGCCATGTAGAATATTTATTGGGTAATTTTATTAAAACATTCAAAAGAACAAAACTGTGTCTGGCTTGTGGGGGTAGGTGAGCCGTCTGGGCTCAGCGAGGCCTCTGGAAGACAGTGGGGGGAGTGTGGGGTTTGGGGGCCTGGACGCATGCATTACACAACAAACAGCTGCAGGTAGGTCCCCTGTGTGCCCCTGGACCCCCTCCCTCCTCCAGCTCCTTGGTGTCCTCCTCCGGCTGCCAAGGTCACCAGGCGCCTGCTCCCTCAAGGCCTCTTCTCCTCCCCCAGCGTCCAGGATGCAGATACAGCCGCCTCCTCCCACTTGCCCTTTTCTCTGCTCCAGCCCTGATCTGGGGGACACCCAGGCCTGGCCTTGGCCTCCCACTCAGTGTCCAAGGCACTTACGAGCCGCCAGGGCTCACCTCACTCTTGTCCAGGTCCCCTACCTTGTATGGGACCCCACTCCGCCTTCTCATGTTTCCATACCCTTCCACCTGCCTCCCAAACCTTCCAGGCCTCTGGACTCATCTCCCCGTGCTCACCTAGGTCCTTCATACCCAGCTCAAGGCTGCAGCTTCCCCAGAGGCAAACTGAGTTCCTGGGTGCCCGCTTCCTGGCCCAGACCAGTGCCCTCTCACGGGCCTTCCCCCTACAGTGCCCCTCGTCGCTGGGCTGCCTTGCCCTATCCATGGTGTGAGAGAGTGAAGGCCTCAAGGTACGAGGGTGAATCAGGTTCCAGTCCTGGTTCAGCCACTTACAAGTTAGTTATTTCATTGTTCTGAATCTTAAGCAGTGCCTTGTGATTGGGCAGTTGGATTGTTTGGTTGCTTTGGGGCCATACCCTGAGGTGCTCAGGGGCTACCCCTGGCTCTGCTTAGTGGTCACTCCTGGCAGTGCTCAGGGACCAATTGGTGCTAGGAACCGACCCCAGCCTTCCACACGTAAAGCCTGTGCTGAGCTCTTTGATTCTTTTTCATTTGGGCCACAGCTGGAGGTGTTCAGGACTTATACAGCAGGTAGGGCTCAGGGATTAGTCCTAGTGGGCTCAGGAGGACTTTATGGGGTGCTGGGGAGTGAACCAGGGTCTGCCGTGTGCAAGGCAAGAGCCCTACCCGCTGTACAATCTCTGGCACCTTTTTTGTTTTTTAAATTTTATTTTTTTGCTTTTTTGGTCACACCTGGCTATGCACAGGGGTTACTCCTGGCTCTGCACTTGGGAATTACCCCTGGCGGTGCTCTGGGGACCATTTGGGATGCTGGGAATCAAATCCGGGTTGGCCGCATGCAAGGCAAATGCCCTACCCACTGTGCTATTGCTCCAGCCCCTCTCTGGCAGCTTTTTGATTTATTTTTGGGTTTTTGTTTGTTTGGGGGACACACCCCACAATGCTCAGGCCTTACCCCTGACTCTAAGTAGGCTCAGGGATCACTCTTGGTGGGCTTGGGGACTGTATAGAGTGCCAGAAATCGAGTCTGGGATGACTGGATGCAAGGCAAGCGCCCTCCCCATTGTAACATCACTCTGGAGCCATCTCTTGGAGCACAGCTCTTGAAGCCATCTCTCTACTCACCCTCTTTGGTTTTGAGTTTTGAGCCACACCCATCAGGGCTCAGGGCTCAGGGCTCAGTTCTGGCTCGGAACTTAGGAATCATTCCTGACAGTGCTTGGAAGATGAGCAGTTCCAGGATTCCAACCAGGATGATCCACACACAATGCCTTAACTCCTGTACTGTCTCTCCAGCCTGCCCTTATTATTATTTTTTAGAGCACAAAATAATGGTGCTGGGGATGTGGCTCAGTGGTAAAGCACATGCTTTATCTATATGAGGCCCTGAGTTCAAAACCCAATAGCAGAAAAACACACACACGACATTCAGTGACTGATGAACTTGGGGAGTTCCAGCTGGGACCAGTTTCAGGTGTGGCTGGATCCAGGAACTCAAATAAAGTCATTAACTGCTTCGTCTGCATCCAGCCTGCTCATCTCCATGTTTTCTGTGCATTCAGTCCTTCACATCAAAGTTTTCTTCAAGTTAGAAGAAAAGTGACATTCTCCTAGAGCCTGCATCTTCTACATCCCAGGCACTGGTTGAGGGTGTGTATATCACATGACCTCCCTGGGCCAGTTGCTGTTGGTAGGACAAGAGGCCAGAAGGTTGACCAGGCCTGGACCTCATGCGACATCCATGCCAAAGGCCAGCCAGGCACTGGGGTGGACAAGCCCGCAGACTTCTAAGGGGTGGGAAGCAGCAGATTTCGTTTTAGTTCAGGTCCTGTTCTATGTAATAGCTATTCTAGGTAGGGTCGGAGGGACAGGACGATGGGAGGGCACTTGCCTTGCACATGGCCGAGCGGGTTCAATCCCCGGCACAACATATAATCCTTCAAAACGCCTTCAGAAGTGATAGATCTCTGTGCACAGAGGCGGGATTGAACTCATCCCCAGCACCCCATATGGTCCCTCCAAGCCCACCAAGAATAATCCCTGAGTGCCGAACTAGGAGTAAACCCTGAGCACCACCAGGTATGGCTCCAAACTCAAAATAAATAAATAAATAAAAGAGTTAGCTAATATATTTAACACCTACCTCATGAAGATGTGTATGAGTTTAAGAAACAAATCTTAGGGGCCAAAGTGATGGGACAGTGGTGGTACTACTTTGCATATGGCTGACTTGGCTTCAATCCTCAGCACCCCATATTGTCCCTGAGCTTTCCAAGAGTGATTCCTAAGTGCAGAGCCAGGAGTAAGCCCTGAACACAGCTTGGTGTATTAAAAAGAAAGGAAGAAAGAAAGAAAGAAAGAAAGAAAGAAAGAAAGAAAGAAAGAAAAGGAAGGAAGGAAAAAAGAAATCTCATTCATTATAGAACACCCAGAATTACTAAGTCCTCAACAACTGCTGTTGCTGGAGCTGAGAGATGGCTCAGAGGGTGGTGAACTAGCTTTGCATGCAGGAACCTGGGGTTCCATCCCCAGTACCACATGGTCCACAGAGCACTGGCCAGGACCACCCCCTGAGCACCAAGTATGAGTAACTGTTGAGCACTGATGCTGTGATGTAAAAAAAGCAAACAAGACAGGAACCAGAGAGATAACACAGTGGGTAGGGTTTCTGCCTTGCATGCAGCTGACTCAGGTTCGATCCCCAGCACCCCATGTGGTCCCCCAAGCCCACCAGGAATAATCCCTGAATGCCAAACCAGGAGTAAGCCCTGAGACTGCCAGGCGTCGCTCTCTCCAAAGAAAAAAATTGAATTGAAGAAATAGTACAGCCGGTAAGGCCCTTGCCTTGCATGTGGATAACTCAGGTTTGATTCCCAGCACCCCATAGGGCCCCTGAGCCTCCACCAGAAGTAATCCCTGAGCACAAAGTAAGGAGTGATGCCTGAGCATCACAGAGCCAGGAGGAAGTCCTGGGCACAGCTGGGTGTCGACTCTCTCCAAAAAAGTTTTTTTTAAAAAGTAGCTTAAGGGGCTGGAGCAATAGCACAGCGGGTAGGGCGTTTACCTTGCATGCAGCCGATCCGGGTTCGATTCCCAGCATCTTATATAGTCCCCTGAGCACCACCAGAGGTAATTCCTGAGTGCAGAGCCAGGAGTAACCCCCTGTGCATTGCCGGGTGTGACCCAAAACAGCAAAAAAAAGTAGCTTAAAAGTAGCTTAAGCCCCTCTTTTCAGCTAGAATAAAGTACAAATGGAAATTAGAGGCCTTCAAGACGTGGCCTGCCTCCTGCCCGCACACGCTCCTCCCTGGCCTCTGCCTCTGCCCGCCTGCCAGTACCTGCACCTGAGCTGCTCCAGAGACAGCTCCTCACCCAACGGAAGCAGCCAGGCCCTCAGTCCTGCTGACAGCCAGCAGTTGCGTCTCGGTCAGTCGGTCAGTCGTGCTTTCCAGCCTCTGTCCAGGCCCAGGGCCCAGCCTCCTGCAGCTCAGGCAGGCAGGGCCAGGGAGTAGGAAGGAGAAGGCTGGAGTTAGGGGGGTGAAGGCGCTTCCATCAGCTCCTCCAGTGTTGTCGGGGGCCTAAAGGAAGGTCCTGGGACTTAGAGCAGATGGATGGGGACAGCCCTGCATTGGAGTGGGGGGGGGCCCTTCATAGAGAAGGAAGGATGCACTTTTTATTTTTTTGCTTTTTTTGGGTCACGCCCGGCGATGCTCGAGGGTTACTCCTGGCTTTGCATTCAGGAATTACTCCTGGCGGTGCTCGGGGGACCCTATGGGATGCTGGGAGTTGAACCTGGGTCAGCCGCGGGCAAGGCAAGCACCCTACCCACCGTGCTATCGCTCCAGCCCCAAGGCTGCACCTTTAAATGGCACATAGCATGCTGAGGGGTTGCAGGGCTCCAGCCAGGGCCCCCCAGTGCGCAGAAGTGCTCGGGAGGACACTGGGTTTAGGTGGCCGAGCAGATGACGGGTACTAGAGAGGGGACCATGGGGAGGGCCAGGACAGCAGGGCAGGCCTTCTCCTGGACTGCTGGCACAGTTGGAATGGGAGTCAGGGCTGTACCCACAGAACCCAAGGCCTTGAACCCAGGATGCTCTCTTTGTAAGAGCCCAGAGAAGCCAGGGAGAAGGTTTTTGGTTTGGGGGCTACCCTCTTTGGGCTCAGATTCACTCCATCTCTGTACTCAGGGTCACTTCTGGCGGGGTTCTGGGAGCCATATGTGGCGTCCAGCTGCTGCAACTGTCCTTTCTCTCTGGGCCAAGGGGAGGAGGCTGACACTGTGACCTCCATTCTTTTCAGGTGTTCCTTCTGATGG